CTTCAAGAGCTCCCGTCTGAACCGTGCGGTCGGACGTTAAAGAACATTGCCAACAACTCTTACCGACTTTTTCGCAAGTCGCCAGTAGAGCCCATCAAATTTCGCCTGTCAACACAATTCTATGACTTTACTCACAACATTTCAAACGCACACACAGACACAGAATTTTGTAATACATATATACATATCTCTCTGCGACTCAGCCAAGTTCAATCAATCAACCAGGTTAATTTCTCTGACACAACACACTTTCTGATCAATTGTATTCTTGTGTTATCTGTTCTAACAAACAGTCCTTTGTCCTAATATTGATTCATGGACATTTTTCTCTCACGAGAACTTTCTTTAGAACAATCAAATACAAATCAAAATACGGAAAGCAACTTCTTTTCCCTTAACCTATACATTGCACACAATAATTTTGTATATTTCATTCATGTATGTTATTTCAATATATACTTGTTGATTCACATTTGGAGTTTCGTTGTTGTCTTGAATCATTTATTATAGAAAATTTATACACATGCCAAAGAACACGCAGCCTCATAAAAATAGTGTTTTTTTAAACAGCATCATTGTCATATAATCATCACGTCATAATACTCATGATATTAAAAAGTATGATATACTTATCATAAAAAATATGTTTTGGGTATACACCCTTGTGCACATTGATTGCCTTTCTTTCACCGTACGGTCAGTTTTAGACCCACTGGAGTGACAGTGTGTAAATGATTTCTATTTTTTTTCTCAGATTAAGGCATTTGGAGTGGTGTGCAGTAATATGAATCTATTTTCAGGGCGTATGATGAAATTCGTTTGGCCTTGAAAAATATTGCGTCATCCGTGATTGTATCAGATTTTCATCACGCCTAAACACTATTGTCTCGACTGTCGATTAGTTTTTTTACGGTTATTGTCAAGCAATGGACGTTACTTCAAGGAAGCGTACAAAAATTGTAACGCTGGCAGGCCTTACCAATGAGCAAATCAAACTACTATAGATTGGCCCCCAAAACTCTCCATTTTTTAGATTTTAAATCCAATCGAGAATCTGTGGTCAATCGGAAAGGAACGACCTCGGGAAATGGCCATACGAATTATTATCATGTGTACTGGATCATGATTCATTGCGAAAATACGAAAATAAAAGTAAATAATAAAGTAATTATATAAGGGTATATATATATATATATATATATATATATATATATATATATATATATATATATATATTACGTATATATGGGTAAATAGCAGGACAGACAGTGTTCTATAGCCTTGGATGGCAACTGGTCTAGGAGAAGGACAACTCTGAATTAAAAACCTATGGAGGGTCGTTTGGGAACCTTGCGTCACGTAGGCACCAGGTCTCTGTATTCGGTCCTTCAAAAAGTGTGGGTGGTCCTGAACGAAACCTCACCACTATAATCAAATCTCATGTGGTGTTGTCAGGCTGTCGGTTTCCTGAGAACTGATCTGCTTGACCTCACACGTCGAACTCGACGGAGAGTCGACTATATATATATGTATATATATATATATATATATATATATATATATATATATATATATATATAATTAATAATTAATAGCTTTATTATTTTACATTGGGCACTATTATTTTTTTGTTTGGTTTCATTGGAAAAAATACGAAAAGTAAATAATAACGGAATTAATCGTTTTTTAATCAATTTGCACATGTGGATATATATATATATATATATATATATATATATATATATATATATATATGACGTATATTTCTTAATATATAATTAATAGCTTTATTACTTTGCACTGAGCACTGTTTTATTTACAACAAAGGATATATGTGTGCGTGTGTGTGCGTGAGAGTGCACACTTGCCTTTACATTTATATATACATTATATATTATAAATTAACTGATTTAAAATGTTTTTTCGCTACACAGTTCTAACCATGTTTCAAAAATGGAAGCTAAAATCTTCGAATTTAATTTTGTAATTAAATTAAAGACATTAGTTCCATTTCATCCTCAAGCGAATTTTTGAATTTTGTATATATATATATATATATATATATATATATATATATATATATATATATATATGTATATAAAAAGAAAGAACAGTAAGATATATAATCCGGTGTTCTTTATAGATATTTTTATTTTACATAAAATAGTGCTCAATGTAAATTTACAGAGCAATAATATTATAAATTAATTGATTTAAAATATTTTTCCGCTACACAGTTCTAACCATGTTTCAAAAATAGAAGCTAAAATCCCCGAATTTAATTTTGTAATTAAATTAAAGACATTAGTTCCATTTCATCCTCCAGCGAATTTTGGAGTCACTTTTAAAATTACTGGGTTTTAAAGACACAGCTAAAATCATAATTCATGTTTCCAAGGTTACAGATAAATCCACTTCCACTAGACAAGGGGTGTTTGTGTTCATTATATCTGTATTTTGATGTATCAGTTATTGCTACTTTTTTTTTTGGGGGGGGTTTAGGTTAGAATATTTTTTTTTTTTATATATATATATATATATATATATATATATATATATATATATATATATATATATATATATATATATATATATATATATATATATATATATAGAAGGTGACTTCTTGATGTTATCAGTCTGGAGAAGTCGGTCCTCGGTGGTCACAAGCCATCGTGACGAATGGTTTTGCTTGCTGGCTTTGTTTAGACTGTTGATCACCCTATATAAAGCACCCTCTCAGAGTTCCTGTAACTAAGATCCGTTCAGCATAGATGCTGTGTAAAGCACAGGTGGGCCCTGTGGGTGTTGAACAAATACAAATGTGCCTGAACAGACGTCTGTAGTGGGGATTAGATAGCCTCCCTAGTAGACTGATGTCCTCGGATACTAGTGGCCGCGTCGTTTATATATATAAATGAATTTGGATTCGAGAATAAAATAGCATTTACCCCCTAGGATTTTGAATCCGTCCTCCAGGAATAGCGAACTGACCAACAGTTCTGGTTCTGCTATTGCTGAACATTTAATAAATAGAAGGGATTGTGTGGAAAATTTGAGTGGTGACCGATTTATAATTTTATCTAGGTCCCACTCTACATTTCACCTCAAGATTCTAGAGTCCTTGTATATCAGATCCCGTGAGCCTTCCCTTTGTAAACAGAGGGGATGCTTGCTGGGTCTGAATATTATTGGACTCTAGTTTCTTGAAATTCATAATTTTTTTGTTTTTCCCCATTCGATTACATTCGTTAATTAAAAATGAATTTACAAGCTTTTTTAAATTCCCAGAATAAATAAACTTGATTAGTCCTGGGACGAAACCGGTTGCTTTTATTTTATTTTATTGTCTTTTTTTCTATCTATTTTAAAAATGAAAAACTTATTATAAATATATTGTATATTTAAGGATCTACTGGTTTTATTAAATTCTATGGAATTGACTTGGCGTTGAAAAACTATCGCCGGTCGCTTTGTATGGCAGCTCGGGGTGAGACTATTTCTTCTTTCGTGGAGGAGTACAAGATGGCAAAGGTGAGATTGCAGTCCATGCTGTGTGAATCTAGGGATGCTATAATCGGGAAAAATGTGGCGGAGGTGAAGACAGGAAGAAAGTGGAAAGTGTCAGACCTGATGTCAGCAGTGGAAGGGATTGTAAAGCAGGCAGAAGTCTAGGATGCTACAAGAAAGGTACGAGTTTAGACGGAGAGATTCTGGTCAGAGGCCAGTAGACAGAAGCAACGCAATTTACGGAAACAAAGGGTTCGGAAGCTCGAGAAGGAGGAACGTTTAGTGCGTACTGTCCAGCAGGCCCAGCAGGGTCGATGGCTTAACTGGGAGCGGATTGAGGGTGTTCAGATCAGTTGGTCTGATTGGTGGCGTGTCAGCGCAAGATATTTGAGGTTCCTCATACAGGCAGGATATGATGTGGCAGCATCATCGGCAAATTTGAAGAGATGGGGAGTGCAGGAGTCACCATCCTGCCGCTTGTATGGTGCTTATGGAAACCTGTCATGGGCCCTTACCTATAACTACAGAATGAACTCTTTCGAACATTATGTATACTACGGCTCTCAAGAGAGAGGGTGGAATCAAGCCGAGATTCTCGGCATGACGGTCAAACTCTCTGCCTCTGAGCAGAGAGAAACCCGGACGAGGCTCCGCCGAGGGGTAGAGCCTCGTTCGGGGAGATTGACCAACCCGATTCTGTTTTTACATTTTCTACGGTCCTAACCTGGACCATAACACTAAGTCACTTTAATATCTATCTATCTATCTATCTATCTATCTGTCATGGGTCCTTCCTTACCTATAACTACAGAATGAACTCTTCCTAACACTATGTATACTAGGCCTCTCAAGAGAGAGGGTCGAATCGAGTCGAGCCGATAGTAGTTCACTCCCAACCAGACTGACAGTCATACTAACACCTTCCACATCTTGTATTATTATTTCGTGTAATATACCTTCGTTAATTCTACTCTTGTGTTCGTCTTCTTCTTCCTTGGTCCTAACCTAGACAATAACACTAAGTCAATTTAATATCTATCTATCTATCCATCTATCTATCTATCTATCTGTCATGGGTCCTTACCTATAACTACAGAATGAACTCTTCCTAACACTATGTATACTACGCCTCTCAAGAGAGAGGGTCGAATCGAATCGAGCCGATAGTAGTTCACTCCCAACCAGACTGACAGTCATACTAACACCTTCCACATCTTGTATTATTATTTCGTGTAATATACCTTCGTTATTTCTACTCTTGTGTTCGTGTTGTTCTTCCTTGGTCCTGGGCCATAGCAAAACCTGATCCAGATACTCTCGTCCTGCCCGAAGTCGCTACAGAACGGCTGGTACACCTTCAGATATAACTTAGTTCTAGAGGTCGTGGCAGCAGCTACGAGAAGAGATAGTAACCCTTGACGGGCCTGCGAAGGATGGCCTTCCTGAAGCAAGGTTTGGCTGACACAAATCAGAAGACCAGGTCGGAGGACTCAAGGAAGCGGAGAGTGTTGGTTGATGCTAACACAGCCAGTGGAGGTTTTTGTGTCTGGACTGAGGCCAGATGTAGTGTTAATTGGTATCGAGAAGAAACATCTGTGGCTTGGCAAGCTGACAGCGACGCGGGAAGAAGGGATTGAAATTTGCTTCGGTATGAGGAACTGGTGGCTGAAGTCCGTGAGAGACGGATACGGCTGCACCCTGGTGCCGTTTGAGGTTGGCTCTAGGGGATCCCCTGCTGCTGCCTTAAAAGACATTCCACAAATGCGCTGGTTTCCAAAAGCCAAATAAGGTGATAAAGACTCATGGTGAAAAAGCGTTGGGAGACAATTCATGGATTAACCAGAAATTCCTGTCGAGTCCAATTAACATAGACTGGTTGCAACGTAACATAATCCATCTATTGCGGGCCTAACCTGTGTAGAGGTACTGAGGTTAATGGGCCGAAACTTTACTGAAACATGGTGCTCAGTTGAAGATTGCAACTGGTCTGGAGCACTTGATGTATGCATATATATATATATATATATATATATATATATATATATATATATATATATGCAAATATATAGAAAATAGGAAAGAACTCGTTAGGTAAATAATCCAAAGTTCTTTAGTATTTTGTTATTATTTTTAAAAAATAGTGCTCGATACAAAAGTAGAGCATAAATATAAGTATTTATTTAAAAATATGATTCAAACGCTATAAGAGTTCTCATGTTTCAAAACAAGAGCCGAAAACTTCAATATAATTATTTGAATTAAATTGAATTAAAGTAATTAATGATTTAATTTGAATTAAAGTGATTAATGATTTCATAATTATATTGAAGTTTCGGCCCTGTTTTGAAAACATGAGAACTTATGTCGCGTTGTAATCATTTAATAAATAATATATATATATATATATATATATATATATATATATATATATATATATATATATATATATAATGAATACAAATATTATCAAATATATATATATATATATATATATATATATATATATATATATATGCAAAATACTGTCTTGCCCCATGGTTTTTATGGAAATAATTATTGTCTCTTGAAATTCAGTATTAGAATTCCTAAAATCCAAACCTTAACGTCTGCAGCCAATTTAAAATACACAACTATCTGTGCCATTTTGTTTTGTTTTTTTTTTAGTTTTTTTTGTAGGGGTGTTCAAATTATTTTTTCTTTATTACTATAGAATATTTTTTTACATTTTTTTAATACGCCATTTTGTTGTTTTGACGTCTGCTTCCAGTTTAAAATACGCAACTCTCTCTGCCGTTTTTTGTTTTTGTTCTAATTATTTTTTTCTTTATTATTATAGAATTTTTTTTTTTTAAATGTTTAATACCCCGTTTTGTTGTTTTCTTGCTAAGTCACGTGAAATCGTTTCAATTTAAACTCTGTTTATGTTATTTACGCGCTCATACTGTCGAAAGTAATTAATACTTTTTGCAACTGTTCATTAGATTTGCGCCGCCAACGATGTATAAAAGACGATTTTCCTTGGCACGTCACCATAAATAAGCAATCTGGCACATACACGGCTTTTTAATATTTCATGAAACTCAATCACGACTGGAATAAACCAGGCAGTTGATTAACGTGATTATTTTGCGAAAATCTCCTCATGAAAACAAATATAACCCAATGCCACAACTATTTATAACCTAAGAGGTTAAAACCATACAAAAAAAAAAAAAATGAAAGGAGCCCATAAAGTGAATTATATCTAATGATAGCCGAAGGCCGAGGGAAGAAACATTTAACATTGGTGTAAATTTTCTTCTGTATTTTCTGTGTTCGTCTGCACTGTTGGCTGTGGCATCAGAATACGCCGACTGCACTTCTGCAGGGGGTTAAGAGCCCCCACCACGCGCCAACCTGGTTTGGTTGGGTTGGGTTTATTTTGTTTTACGGCATATCACCCTCAGTGGGTTATTTAATGCCGACATCATTTTTAGGATATATGTTGAAACATGGTGCTCAGCTGAAGATTGCATACTTATAGTTAGTACTATTGCGGTCGTAAAACAAAATAAACCAAACCAATCTAAACCATAACCAAATCTCTGTTCTTGTGTGTCCATGCAGCTACGCGCCCACCTCTGCGGATGTGTGTTCGCTCGCTTGCGCCTGTTTCTACGGATGTGCGTACGTGAAGGGGAGTTGTGATCATTTTATATATATATATATATATATATATATATATATATATATATATATATATATCATAATTTATCCGCAATTTCTCCGTAACATATCTTTAGGTTTGTCACACCGCCTTCTGCTGATGCATGCTTATAGTTATGCTATTGTGATCGTGTGATCCAAGTTTGAGGTTGATTGTGACAGTTTTATTTCTGCCGTTACAGTGCGAACATGGCCGCTCTGCTAACAGTGTGCACCAAGGAGGAACAAAGAGTAGTGACCCGAATATGTAGACAATATGATACTCCATCGATTATAACTCGCCAGTTCTCAAATGCTATCTCCCTAGCTTCTCGTTAGTAGTAGAACTTAATAAGTGTTCTGCATCTTCTTCGTGCGTCAGGCATGTCCGCTCACTTCTCGATCCACACATACACACTTACACGCGGTAGCACAATGTCGGTGTATTGCTTTGAAATCCTCGGATGGATTTCAGTCCTTGACACACCTTCCGACCAGAGAAATCGAATCACTGCTGTTTGTTTCTGCTTGGTGCACACTGCGAGCGGAGCGGCCATGTTTACACTGTAACAGCAGCAAGAAAAGTGGCAGGGTAAAGTTCAAACTTCGATCAGGTCACCACTGTAGTCGCAGCTATAAGCACGCATGTGCAGAAGGCAATGGGATAAACGTAAAGGTATGTTGAACGTTCCGGATAATTCTTAACTTACCCTCGTATTTTACCCGTAGAAAAACATGACTGGAAGAAAGCGATCTAAAAACAACAATGGAAAAGAGAGGTAACAGAGCCTAAACGAAATAGCTCCAGTTTGTCTAACTTAGGAAACTTAGCATTGCAGCCAAAGTATTCGAAAATGCTGCCAATAAAATGAAAAATACCTAAAAACAAATCGAATATAGCATTAAAAGTTATATTATTTATTCCTCATGTAACTAAATGAATAATTGCAAACATTTTTTCTGTGTTTCCTATAATAAATTCTTAATAAATATTATTAGTGTCATCATTTTACTTAAGTGTAATGTAGTCCTATATTTACAAATCCTTACGGGTAACCATGAAAAGAAATGTTGATCAAAACTGCCTAAAACCTTCAAGCGCGAATTGCTGCAAAATTATTAAATGTTGAATAAACCCTTTCTCCATAGTTCCAGTTTGTTCAACTTGGGAAACTTAGCATTTCAGCCAACGTATTCTAAAATGCTTCCAAGAACAAAGAAGAAAGTGAAGAATATCAAACAATAAATCGAATATAGCATTAAAATTTATATTATCTTTATTTATTTGTTATGTAACTAAATACATAATTTTCAAAAATATTTCCGTAAAACTTGATATTTCCTGTAATAAATTCTTAATAAATATTATTATTGTTATTATTTTACTTAAGTGTAAGGTAGTCCAAACTTTACAATGGAAAGAAACGTTGATCGAAACTGCCTAAAAACTTTAAACGCGTATTACCGAAAAAATTATGAAATGTTGAATAAGCCCAAACTACGCCGAACGTTTCATATGGGCAACGACAGAGTTCTAGAAAGAATGGAAGCAAAAAGGAAAATTGTAGCAAGAGACAGCTGAAATGTCGCAGACATATAATGAGGAAAAAGGGCTTGGAAAATCTGATACTCACAGGACAGATTGAAAGGGCAGAGGGAAATGAGTTTGAGTAAATGGATGACGGGAAAAAACTTGGGGTAAAATAACAAAAAAAAGAAAAAGTTTATTAAGAGCTACAAAGGATAGGAAATTTTGGAGAGCCATGCTCGACTACTGATTGAGAGAAGAAGAAGAAGAAGAAGAAGAAGAAGAAGAAGAAGAAGAAGAAGAAGAAGAATCGTCTGAAGAGGGAGAAGAAGAAAAAAGAAGAAAAAGAATTGTCAGAATAAAAAGAAAAAGAAGAAAACGAAACGTCTTACGAAGAAGAAGAAGAACAAGAAGAATAAGGAGTAGGAGTAGAAGGTTCGTCTGAAGAAGAAGAACAAGAAGAAAAAGAAGAAGAAGAAAAGGAGGAGGAGGAGGAAAAAGAATGATAAGAAGAATCGTCTGAAGAGGGAGAAGAAGAAAAAAAAGGAAGAAAAAGAATTGTCACAAGAAGAAGAAGAAGAAAAAGAATCGTCTGACGAAGAAGAAGAAGAACAAGGAGTAGGAGGAGGAGGTTCGTCTGAAAAAGAAGAAGAAGAAGAAAAAAGAAGACGAATCGTCTGAAGAGGGAGAAGAAGAAGAAAAAAGAAGAAAACGAATCGTCTTAAAGAAGAAGAAGAAGAAGAACAACAACAACAACAAGGAGTAGGAGGCTTGTCTGAAGAAGAAGAAGAAGAAGAAGAAGAAGAAGAAGAAGAAGAAGAAGAAGAATCGTCTGGTAATGAAGGAGAAGAAGAAAGAAAAACGTCAGAAGAAGAAGAAAAAGAGTAGGAGTATTAGCAGGAGGCTCGTCTGAATAATAATAATAATAATAATAGCAATTGTTTTCCCTTTTAACACACTATATATATATATATATATATATATATATATATATATATATATATATATATATATATATATGGGCACCTTGATGCGTTGTAATGTTTAGTAAGCATATCTCTAACAACAATTACGACTTAGCGGTGAGTTGGTTCCTCGCTGTGTGCCTTACTTTCGGCCTAATTTGACAGTGTTTTTTTTTTCTTACAATACTGCATGCGAATGTGCAACTGACGATCTGAGTTCAAGTTCTAGTCTAGTCTTTTGCGTTAACTTTCAGTCGCACGTACTTGAAGGTAAATTATATCTCCTCTCCCTAACTATGGGATAAATAACAGG